TTATCTCAATTATCTCTGTAACTGACACAGCATCAACAAGCTGAGAAGCAAAACAGATAATAGCCAGAGCATTCTCACAACTGTGCACTACAAAAGAATTAGGGAAAATCAAAAATGGCCTGTCACAGCCAAACTGTGTAGAACTGAAGGTTTATTTTCTCTCTGCACTGCTGTCATTTCCCAAACAGTATTGCAGACAAAACACAGGGATTCTAAGGATAGAATAATAGCAACTGCCTGAGAAAATGCTATACTTGTTCTCTACACCTGGAATATTTATTTATTTATTTCGTATTCTGGATGCTTAGTCTATATAACTTTTCCAAGCTGTTTTCCCCCTTGTTGGTTTTAAAGACAAAGTATAACATCTTTGTATCCATATATGGTTTCTACTACTAGGGGTTAGTTGGGATTAAACCAAGTGATGTACAGATCTGCCTGTCTTTTTATGGCTCATTCACTTAAATTTCATGCCATGGTTGGGTATGCCCTTTTTTGTTTTGAAGTTTTCTCCCCACAAATAGTTCATCCTCTCTTGATAAATGGCATGACATACTATATTTGCAAGATTTGAAATTCAAATTTTACAAGGACACTACTTTGTAAACTATTTACTGTTGAACTGATTTAAGAACTGATGAATGTGATAAATCCTAAATTCATTTACAGAGGTGTGGAACCACAACCCTCCTTATTATATTTGGTCATAACTACTGTATGAAAATGTATACAGGTGTCCCTCCCCATTCGTGGACTTTGAGTCCGTAGTCTCGCTTTTCACAAGGAGAGACAACAGCTATAGCTAAAATGCCCACGTGCATCCATGGGTGTATGTGCCATTAGTTTCAATCAGGCTTGAGTATTAGTGAGCCATCATTTTGGGAGGTCCAGAACAGATTTCCCCGTGATTTGGAAGGGGCAACTGTACTTGTAAAAATATATCCTTAGTTATAAGCATTTTTGCATTTAGTTGAATATATATATTAAATCCAGCAAGTTATGAGTTTACACCTGGATTTTTTTTTCAAATAAGCCTACTTTCTATGAATTGTCCTAACTAGATCACTAGGCTACAAATCTACAAACACTTCACATCACTTTGTGCTTCACGTCTGAGGTCATTACAAGAGAATAGCCAAGGATATTCTTGTACACTTCTCAAATATGGTGATACTGACATTTCTGGATTATTAAAGTAGAGAAGATGAGGTGGGGTGGGGAATCTCTTTTGTATGTATGTGAAGTCAATTATCAACTTATGGAGACCCCATGTATTTCAATAGGATGTTCTTAGGCAAGGAATACTCAGTCTCTTACTAAGTAATAAATCTGTCTATATTTTGCCTCCTTGGGAAATATTGAGGATAAACACAGAATCATTTTAATTATTTTTATTTATCTAGAACCATAAAACAACAAAAATAGTAATAAGAAGGGAAATCAAAACCAGAAAAGCAAAGAAAACATGAAAACAGTAAGAATCAGCAACTGGTCATTTTCAGCTAGATGAACAGAAGACTGAGGGGTGACATAATTATTCTCTTTAAATAAGTTAAGGGTTGTCACAGAGAGGAGAGGAAGTTTGCATTCTGCTACCACAGAGGGTAAAACCAAATCCAACGGTTTTAAGTTAGAGGAGGCCAGGTTTTGATTGAACATTAAAAGGAACTTCTTGACAGTAAGAACAATTCCACAATGAAACCAATTTCTTGATTCTTGCATGAGCATCAATAGCTGGTAGTGTCCATGCCATTCTATTCTGGGATATAGACTAGCTTTAATGGAACTATCAAAAGTGCTAGAACCTATCCCCCAAATAGATGTAGCACCTCTGATGGCTTCTTTTAAAATTCAGACAAAAGCCCGGAATGTTTTTTTTTTTAAACTCATTGACATGGGAGTTACCACTGTTTCTATAAGAAGAGGTGTGCTCTGAAAGGAGACAACTGAGATTGGAAGTTATTTTTATGGACTCCCAGAACCTCTTGGCCAGCATGGGCTTAGCTTTATTCTTTGTTGTGTGCCTTTGGACCATTTCTGACTTATGGAAACCCTAAGGCAAACCGATCTTGGGGTTTTCTTGGCAAGATTTTATTCAGATAAGATTTGCCATTGCCATCCTCTCAGTCTGAAAGAGTGTGATGTGCCAAAGGCTACCCAATGGGTTTCCATATATGAGAAGGGATACAAACCTTTATTTCCAAGTCCAATACTCAAACCATGGCACCATTAAGTGGGGGGATTCTGGGAGATATAGTCCCAAGGGTGACTATCCCAAGCTCTGACCCATATAAGAAGTGGAGGGGGAGGGGAAAAGAGAGAGAGAAAGAGAGAGAGAGACAGTTGAAGGGTGCAATGTCAGTAAGCAATATTTCTCTGACATAACCAAGAAACAAGGTCTTGAGCTGCAAATGTCACAAATCATCAGTTCAATGACAACAGCAAATGAACAGAAGAATTTTTGGCCTCTAGCTCTTCTCTATTTCTGAGGAGGATGCAGCATAAGAAAAACTAATCTCTCTAATCAATCTCTGATCTTGTTCAAAGATGTCCAACTCCGTCTCTGAAAACTATGAATCTAAAATCACTTTTATATACACAGCTGTTCCCTACCTCTGAAGCAACAGGCTTGCAGTAGCCAGCTCCAAACACCAGATTTTCTAGCGACATCCCCGTCAGATCTGGTCCCATTTCCATGTTGCCTTTACCAAGCCATGTGCCTTTCCCTGGACGAGTAAAACTATATGAAGATACAACAAATAGAAAATTAATATTCATTTTACCTCATTTAAGGTAATTTATAACTGCCTTTCTCAAAACTACAGCTTTTCCAGGGTGGCTTTTGATATTTATATCCAACATGTAATCATAAAATCATTTAAACACATTTAAGGACTTGTCCACACAAGCTGAAGAAATGGTCCTGCCCATTTTGGAACTCACTTGTGCAGATGACACACACAGTTGAAACAAGAGGGAAACAGAAACAAGACATGCCCAGGGGCTTTGGTAGCCATTATTGCTTTGTTATGGTGGCTCTATCCTCACAATTGGATGGGGTAATGTGGACTCCACATCAGTTGTCGGTGTGCTGTGGGAGCCCATAGTGTGGTCAGTGTATTCTCCTTGTGAATCAGAAAACCTCAGTGGCAAACTGTTTTTTCCCCTCTGACTGCTTTT